TCCGAGGCCGATCGCTGGGGTCTGGAGCAGGTTGAACTCAGAAGTTGTCTCAAGAAGAAGATATATAACAACCATACTAACAACTACTAACAACCATATAAGACGTTGTGAGGGCATCCTTCATCCTCCCAACGATGTAGGATATCATATCGATCTCCAGGGTTATAGCCTTAATGGCAGTCACAGTGCAACATTCCAGGATTCATGTCAGGCTCCTTCACGCAGGGTGTTTGATTTTTTTGAACCCGACCCACATCCAGAGAACACAAGAGATCTTTGAATCCTAGGGCCTCAATAGGCGCAAATCTCCCTTGATCCTGGAATAGCTAAGCTGACGCCGCAGGCCTGGGAGCACAGTGGATTGCAAGCCGCCAAGCCTCGTGTTGACAGCATCAGGGGTGTATTCATGTACAAAGGAATTTGATGTGACAAGACTTGTTCTGAGAATATGTTGTGAAGTGTTTCAACGATGTGGAACTCCAACTTTTCTGAAGTGTGTCCTATAATTATATAGCTTGCTCTCACTCTTGCTCTCGTATTGTAGGATATGATAAGGTTCATGATGTTAATCGATATTTGCTTATAGTACGTATGTCAATTCAAACTTTTCGGAAACTGTACCATGCTGTAACGGCTGAAAGTCAAAGACAACCCTTTCGTCAGAAGCTCGTCCCATTCCATGCAGCTTTGCATGAGACCATCTCAACACTGCTTGATAGCACTCATTGGGTGACATCGTTTACATTATTCTGGCGACGGAGTCAATACAAATTTCCATCATCTCAGTAGTCTGTCCCTACAAACAATGCAGGGATGGACCTTCACAACTTTGATCGTTGATAACATAAAATAAGACTGAACGCCTGTAGATTGCAGTTCCCTCTTTTCTTCCTGCACCTGATTCAAGAAAAAACAAAAAAGCCTGCAAAAGAACAGTTAAACACACAACCAGCAAGGTCGTGACAACTTCCCTCCCTCCTTCGCCAAAGCCGCCTCCACGATTTCTCGGGCTTGTTTGGCCACCTCCACCTCGCGAAGCAGTCGAACTGGATGTTTGCCAAAATGAAAGCAAACTGGGGATCTCATTCTGGCAGTGGGATTAACCAGGGTGGACTGCAATTCCTGAATAAATGCTTGGGTGAATTCCACCACTTTGACCCTTGAAAAGCGGCCAAGTCCAGCGAGTTGAAAGGTGGTTGGAGACTTCCAGACTTCCAGATCGAAAGGTGGTTGGATAACAATTTGCACGGTATAGAGAGTACTGATTGAACATGCAGTAGAAATCAGCCGAATACACAAATTATAAGTACAACATAATACAACTACTCGCCCCACCTAATCTCATTTGGTGAGTGGCCTTCTAAGAACATGCATGTCTTCGAGGCTTACAAGTATCAATAATTAAGCTTCAGCCTGTGACTCCAACTTCACGCCATGCTTCGCGGCTTCGCAGGCACCGCGCCTCCGGATGCTGCGCATAGCGCGCAACCACACGGCCGAGCTGGGTGAAGCGAAGGAAGGCTTCGGAGACCTACGCAGCACCGATCACTTCGGCCGAAGCAGGGGAGCAGGATGGGGAATCTGTCAGTGACGTATGCGTTTTGAGGGATTCCAGAGGATCTGAGGCATGGTTTTCCCTTGCGCTTGGCTGCGACATGGTTGTTCCGTTCTTCATGTTACAGTAGTCTTTTGTGTGTGTGTGTACACGTCTGTCTCTCTCTCTCTCTCTGTCCGCATACTGATTTGCTGCTGCACATCGCGCTTCTTTGGCTTCAGTTGGA